CACAGACAGACAGACAGACAGACAGACAGACAGACAGACAGACAGACAGACAAGTTGATAGAGAGAGAGACACAGAGAGAGAGGCAGAGAGGTTTGGGGGGGGGGACATACACAAATAAACCCACGCATCACGCAGAAATAACAGAACGATCAACAGCACTACTCACCATCTGCGCGTGTGTCATTGTAGTCCATGCTGAGGCGACACAGAACACGATCCGGAGAAAGTTGAGAGCACGAGAACACGACATTTCTGTATTGAAACGGGGACGGCCAAGAGCCGCCTTCTCCCAGTCGTTGTCGCAGCTCGTCCTTTGTCTCTCTTTCGATTTGAAAAACCGTTTTGGACAAATACCAAAGAAGAAGTTTACCTGCCTTACGGCTTTTGCTCCTCGGTGAAGTTACTGCTCTTGTTTCTTTGATAAAAACTACATTTTATGGCAATCAAACTTCCCGCCCTGAGTGATTTGATACGATTTATGCGTGTTTAGCTTTTGGAGACGCTATAAAGAGAAAGGGTAAGGTTTATCGTAATCTACCCGAATTCGGTACGTCAGTGTATCAATTTGTTTTGCGCTATCGTCTGTTATTTATTTGACAACAGATATCCTCCTAAATGCAAGAAACAAACTTGAGAATTCCCTATTCAGAATCGAAAGTGGAACACATACGCACGGAAACAGCGAAAATAAAAATAAAAAAGAAATTAAGACTTCTTATTTTATTAAACAGTTTTATCTCAGCTCACATCCAAAAAATAAAAGTGAGTCTCTTGATTCGAAATTATGACACCACCCTACTTGCTATCAGAGAAATAATACTTCTCAAACGCTTACACTCTCGGCAGTCGAAGATCTGTCTAAAATTTGTGACCCTTTTTTATTTACTTAGTGAACTGATTATTCACCCGGCCCTGGGTAAGAAATCGGATCCTGAACTATGGCTTGTCATTGTCTATTGATAACAGATTGACTTAGTAGGGGGATGAGAAAGCGGGCGGGGGGCGATTGTGTGAATATGCCGATAGTTTAACGGTTCTATTGAATCAGTCAGTGGGCGAGATAAAGAAAGAGAGAGAGAGAGAGAGAGAGAGAGAGAGAGAGAGAGAGAGAGAGAGAGA